TCCAGGATATAATTTCAGCCAAAAAAGTGGCCAAAATCTGATTTGGCTGATATCCACAAAGGCAGATATCCGGGAATCCACTGTATATATATTATAGAACAATAATAATGAGCAAATTTGTTAATTGGTAGTAGGTTGGTAGACAGCAACCACCCAGGGAGGTACGATCATCCTGCCAAGTGAGTATAAAATGAAAGCCTGTAATTGTTTTACATGATGGTAGGATTGCTGGTGTCCATTTTTCTGTCTCATGAACATGCAAGGTTTCAGGTACGTCTTGCTACTTCTACTTACACTTAGGTCACACTACACATACATGTACAAGCATATAGTTTATACACACAGCTCTGGGTTTTTCTTCTATTTTCTTACTAGTTCTTATTCTTGTTTATTTCCTCTTACCTCAATGGGGAAGTGGAACAGAATTCTTCCTGTAATAAAGTTGGTAGAATTACCGACAATATGTAAAGTAAAAGGACACAAGTGCAACTTATGTGACATTTATTGTGGCAACGTTTCGCTCTCCAGGAGCTTTATCAAGCTTGATAAAGCTCCTGGAGAGCGAAACGTTGCCACAATAAATGTCACATTAGTTGCACTTGTGTCCTTTTACTTTACAGAATTCTTCCTCCGTAAGCCATGCGTGTTGTAAGAGGCAACTAAAATGCCAGGAGCAAGGGACTAGCAACCCCTTCTCCTGTATAAATTACTATATGTAAAAGGAGAAACTTTCGCTTTTCCTTTTGGGCCACCCCGCCTCGGTGGGATACGGCCGGTGTGTTGAAAGAAAGAAGAAAAGGAGAAACTTTCATTTTTCCTTTTGGGCCACCCCGCCTCGATGGGATACAGCTGGTGTGTTGAAAGAAGAAGAAATTTCTTAATTGTTGGTTTGTGTAAACAGGTTTTGTAACAATATAATGACAACAATGTTTATGCAGTTATTGTGTTGCATACAACAAGTGGATATACACTGGACCTTCGGTCATCAGCTGAAATCCGTTCCAGAAGGTCAGCCGAAAACCAAAATGGCCAAGAACTGAAATAATATTTCCCATAAGAATTAATGTAAATACAATTAATCCGTTCCAGACAAAAATTATTTTTTTTTATTATCACACTGGCCGATTCCCACCAAGGCAGGGTGGCCCGAAAAAGAAAAACTTTCACCATCATTCACTCCATCACTGTCTTGCCAGAAGGGTGCTTTACACTACAGTTTTTAAACTGCAACATTAACACCCCTCCTTCAGAGTGCAGGCACTGTACTTCCCATCTCCAGGACTCAAGTCCGGCCTGCCGGTTTCCCTGAACCCCTTCATAAATGTTACTTTGCTCACACTCCAACAGCACATCAAGTATTAAAAACCATTTGTCTCCATTCACTCCTATCAAACACGCTCACTCATGCCTGCTGGAAGTCCAAGCCCCTCGCACACAAAACCTCCTTTACTCCCTCCCTCCAACCTTTCCTAGGCCGACCCCTACCCCGCCTTCCTTCCACTACAGACTGATACACTCTTGAAGTCATTCTGTCTCGCCCCATTCTCTCTACATGTCCGAACCACCTCAACAACCCTTCTTCAGCCCTCTGGACAACAGTTTTGGTAATCTCGCACCTCCTCCTAACTTCCAAACGACGAATTCTCTGCATTATATTCACACCACACATTGCCCTCAGACATGACATCTCCACTGCCTCCAGCCTTCTCCTCACTGCAACATTCATCACCCATGCTTCACACCCATATAAGAGCATTGGTAAAACTATACTCTCATACATTCCCCTCTTTGCCTCCAAGGACAAAAATATTCACAAAAAATAATTCTTTTAACAATTATATAAATATTACATATCTTTATTGAAGGCTAATGCTGTCTTCTGGAAGATAGGGAGGAGATAGTGTTTGGAACAGAAATCCCCTTAAATAAAGACTTTAGGAAGCAAAGCCTTCTCTGGGGCTACTTCCCTTCTTTGTCTTTTAATGCCACTAGGACCAGCTGAGAGTTACTGGACCCCAGTCTCACAAAATAACTGTCCAGAGTGCTCTGTGGGACAGGGTTTTATCACTAAACATGTTGCCGATATGGCTAGTTTCAGCTTTACCTGGGTGGTACTTCTCAACAAAACTTTGCACATCATTCCACTTTGCACAAATGTTCTTAATCAATGAAGAAGGCACCTCCTTCACTCCCTCTTCCTCCTCCTCTGAAGCAAGTTCCTCAGCTGCAGTCTGTTGCTGTTCAAGTTGAAGCTCTTGCAGCTCTTCAGTGGTTAGCTCTTTCCTGTGATCCTCCACCAACTCTTCCACATCCTCGCCACTCACCTCCAACCCCAGGGACTTCCCCAGTGCCACAATAGAGTCCACAGGGTTGGTAGGGTCAGGGTCAGCCTCAAACCCTTCAAAATCCCTCTCTTGGACACAATCTGGCCACAGTTTTCTCCAAGCATAGTTCAAAGTCCTGGAAGTCACTCTCTCCCAAGCTTTACCTATAAGGCTTATGCAATGGAGGATAGTAAAGTGATTCCTCCAGAACTCTCTTAGGATCAACTGAGTGTCTGAGGACACTTCAAAGCACTTTTGAAACACTGCTTTTGTGTAGAGTTTTTTGAAGTTAGAAATGACCTGCTGGTCCATGGGCTGGAGGAGAGTGGTGGTATTAGGAGGCAAGAGCTTCACTTTTATAAAATTGAAGGCCCTAAACACTTGGTCTTCCAAGTCTGAAAGATGTGCAGGAGCATTGTCCAGTACCAGAAGGCACTTTAGTGGTCATTTCTTTTCCAGGAGGTATTTTTTCACACTTGGGCCAAACACATTCATTAACCCACTCTTTGAAAATTTGCCTTGTGACCCATGCCTTAGGATTAGCTTTCCGTATCACACACAATCTATTCCTGAACACTCTGGGATTTTCTGAGTGATACATGAATAAAGGCTTCACTCTGAAATTCCCACTAGCATTACCACACAACAAAAGAGTAAGCCTGTCTTTCATTTGCTTGTGTCCTGGCAATGCCTTTTCCTCCTGAGTAATGTAGGTCCTCTTTGGCATTTTCTTCCAAAATAGGCCTGGTTCATCACAAGTGAACACTTGTTGGGGTTTGAATCCTTCAGCCTCTATGTACCCCTGGAATTCCTGTACGAATTTTTCAGCCGCACATTTGTCAGAACTTGCAGCCTCACCATGCCTTACAACACTGTGTATGCCACTACTCTTCTTAAATCTATCAAACTATCCTTTGCTGGCCCTAAACTCAAACTGCAGCACTTGTTCCAGGCATTTTCTTTGCAAGATCCTCATGCAACTGCCTTGCCTTCTTACAAATAATCGACTCTCCAACACTGTCTCCCACTAATTCTTTTTCCTTAATCCACAATAACTTTTCCATCTCTTTCATTATTGGTGGCCTTTGTTTAGTTAGAAAAGTTACTCCTTTTGCAACATTAGCATCTTTGATTTGTTCTTTCTTTGCCAGGATGGATGTAATCGTTGATTTATTCTTGCTGTATATCCTGGCAAGTTCCACCACCTTCATTCCACTCTCAAACTTTTCTATCACTTCATGCTTAAATTCCATGGTGTTTCTCACTTTCTTTACCACAGGAACTTTCTTTGGAGCCATGGTTACTTATTTCACAGTTGCACTGCAAAAATAACACAAACTACAATGGGAAATAAGCAAAATGTTTAGATGTGCAAAAGTTTCCTCGGTCATCGAGAGAGACAGCCAAACTGACTCGCAAGCGGCCCCAGCCGGTGGATGGACGCATCCCAAACGACCGATCACCGAATTAACAGCCGATAACCGGAGGCCGAAAAACCGGCCAATCACCGAGTTGGCCGATAACAGAACAGGCTGATAACCAGGGGTCCACTGTATATACATTATGCACTACACTGGTCTCACAGGCCACAAAATTTATATGAAAAAATGCAATACTAGAAAAGAAAAACTAAAATAAAAGTAAAAATAATATTACCGAGTGAGCAGCAGTTGCCAATGTTGCTGTCAGCAGTTCACTGTCAACTTAATGCCTCTATCTTGGTAACTACCGATTGCATTTTTTTTTCTATTATAACACTCAGAAAATTATCCTTAAGATTTTCGTAAGAAAAAAATTTTTATTTTAATATTTTTTGACACAGAGCAAGTTTGTGAGCAGGGGTGTCGACAGTGAAAGGGTTAAAAACTCAGATCGAGTCATAATAAACGACTGTCAATGAATAGAAGATGGATGGAAGGCTCAAACTGTGATCCTGAGTTTAATAGGTCCCATGCACTACCTCCTGGCCTATGAGGCTTCTAACTGGGAAGATTCAGAAACAGTACTTCTGTATATGTTTTTTGTCAAAAGACATCAACTGTGCACACTCACCACACAAACCCATTTTCTCATATCTAGGCAAAAAATTTACCATTCACAGCTTATCTAGGCTAAGCTCATGATGCAGAACTACACGAGGGACCCTGGCCTCAATGACAGTTTTATGTGATGGCCAATGAAAGAGTTAAAATAGGACTCAAAGTTAATAAAAATCGCCAATGCGTAAATTACACTCAGACTACTAACTTTGCGCGTGCATAATTACATTAGTTTTCCATCAAATTTCATACTTTTGATGACACTACCTTCAGAAAAATATTGTTTCCAGTTTCAGGTGATTTTTTTTTTTTTTTAAAGTGGACTCAGAGCAATATTAATTTTGTAGGTCTGAATACTGAGAGTTAAAATTAAGCATCTATCAATGGCTTAAATGTTGATGAAAGTTTGTATAGCAAATACATGTATAAATAAGCAAGTGTCTCAGAAGAAAAATTAAGGCAAGACTAAAGTGCAGCCTGAGTCATGATCAGAAATGAGCTCCAGGACACAGCAAGCCCAGTACCAACAACATATAGAGAACTAGTCATTTGGTTAAGAAGAGCAAAACCTTGTAAAGTAAGAGTGAAAGAGGCCATCATTATATCAGAAACAGTAGTAGTAACACAAAAGAAATACCTTGTATGAGTTAACAAGCCAGGCAGGGAGAGAGGCGGTATGCTGCAGAAGAACTGATACCACAGCATGATGGAGCACAGACTGATTAGCACGCTCCTCCTCCTCCAACAACTCTTTCAGCAGAGTCCACCATCCTTCACTCTCTATGCTCTCTCCTGAAAAAATACAAACTGCAAGAAAATACTGATTTCATATTATTGTAAGTAAATTCATACACAAATACTCAACAGTAACACCCAGCTCATTTTTGTGTAAAGCAGGTGCAGAAAACACACATACAAATTGTACAATACCACAAATACACACACACTACAAAACCACACACACACACACACACACACACACACACACACACACACACTACACACAAAAATCAAATACACACACTCCACAAAACCACATACATACACACAACAAAACCACACACACACATGTACATACATATACAAAACCACACAAACACTACAAAAACCACACACACAGTGTACACAATAACATACATGCTAGACAACCAACACACTTTACAGAACATGCAAACAGGAATGACTGGTCATGGTTTACAGAATCCCAAAAAACTGAATCAAACCTAACAGATTGAGGGTTGTAGGAGATTTTACCCATCCTCTGGAATATCAACAAAAATCAAATATTTCCACTACTTGAGCTCATTTTCAAGCTACAGTAGACTGCTATATAACACAGGTTTACTTATCACATATTGGTTATAACACTATTGCAAAATTGCAGCATATTTTTATGTAACACTTCGTAAAATTTACCTAACCCAATTCCGTTTCTGGGTGGGAAAAAATGTGAAGTGCCATGAGCTGGACCGAGGGATATTTTCCTTCTGTGCAGTGGGCTCTCGGGCAGTCTGTCACTGGGTCAAGCCACTGTCTTTGCATGGGAGGTCTACCTTCCTCCCCTGCCATCCCAGTCCCAGTGCTTGTACATACACATTCTGTACGATTCCCAGATCTGTGTTTGTGAATTGGGTTTTGGTCTTTTCAATACCATATCTTCTATCTGCGAATTAACCACAGCACCCAATAGGCATGCAAGCGATGCAGGAAGTGGCAAGAAACTTAGACAAACTTAGAAGTGGTGCCTGTGTGGTGGACATGGCAAGAGCTTATGGCCTTAATGAAGCATTGGTTCATACAATTAAAAAGAGTGAGGCAAATACAGGCTTGTGCAATGAATAACCCTAGTTATCATCTCCTGAAAAGAATGACACACAGATCACAACTGCCTGAATAAACTGACTGACTAACTGACTGACTGACTTGGCTTACTGACTGGACTGACTTACTGACTGGAGTGACTTAGTGACTAACTGGACTGACTTGACTTAGTGATTGACTCGACTACCATCCACCTCAGCCGACAATCAACAACCATCCACCTCAGCCGACAATCAACAACCATCCACCTCAGCCCAGTAAGGCCACAGCATGCCTCTCTACTCTCTTTATAATCATTGACAAACACCAGTCACCACAATTTAAGGTAATATATATTATTTCTGTTGCATTTGTAGCCTAAAGCAATAGAAAAAAACATAATACATCATGACATTGAACAGCAAAATCATTATCATTTTTATTTTAGGAAGATCTGGAGACCTTAAAAAAAAAAAAAAAAAAAAAAAAAAAAAAAAAAAAAAAAAAAAAAAAGTTGTTTGGCATTTTTGGGGGTCCCAGGAATGTTACTCTATTTTTCCCGTAAGTTTATATAACACTGCATTTTCAGTAATGTAACTACAGCCTCTCCTCACTTAGCAATGTACAGTGGACCCCCGGTTAACGATATTTTTTCACTCCAGAAGTATGTTCAGGTGCCAGTACTGACCGAATTTGTTCCCATAAGAAATATTGTGAAGTAGATTAGTCCATTTCAGACCCCCAAACATACACGTACAAACGCACTTACATAAATACACTTACATAATTGGTCACATTCGGAGGTAATCGTTATGCGGGGGTCCACTGCACTAGTTTACCGACGACTCAGACTTACGACACACTCTCTGGCCGGTATGCATGCCTAAATACTGTATATTAGAACTTATTTCCTGTATTCTGTTTATTAGAATACACCGTACACTAATGTATAAACATTTAAAAATATATCAGAAATGTTATAAACGGTGCAAATACGGCATTAAAACATTATCAAATAAGTAACAAAAAAAGGCACAATACCGTGACTGGAACGATACATAAATAACCCGCAACGAAGCGTCGTCGTAAGCTCCTCTCTTCTATGTGCGGGTTATTTGTGTATTATCAAACAAGGTTGATACAAACCCACTACCATTATAGAATGTTCCTCACTTAGCGACATATTCGTTTATCAACATGGTCTTAGGAACAGAACTCCACTGCTAAGTAAGGAGAGGCTGTACTGTGTTTTATAATGGTCTACTGTACTTCAAACCAAAATCATCTCTATTTTAGTAATGTCTTCCATTCTATCAAATAATATCAAGAAACAGAATAAAACCAAAAAAAAAAAAAATCATCCGAAAATACACCGCAAAGTTTCTATTTTAAAAAACACACATGGTCACAGTTTAGTTTTTCCCATGTTGCACTGAGGCAGGATTTTTTTTATATGGTATACACTCACCACACAGATCCATTCTCTCATATCTAGGCCAAAATTTACTACTCACAGTTTATCTGAGTGAGCTGAGCTCATCAAATAGTACTACGTGATGGACCCTGATTTCGTGATACTATGGAACAGACCCATTTGCTGTCCAGCCCTCCAAAATAAAACTTGCTCTCAATGTCCAAAAATTTGCCACCCATAAAAAGAAAAAAAAATTCTTCTGAAATGACAATCTTTTTTTGAAGACAAAGACACCAAACGTACAAAATTTGATGGAAAATTTATGAAACTACACTGGTGCATAGTTAGCAGTTTTGATGCAATTTACATACTAGGGATTTTGCCCACCGAGTCCTGTTGTTCCAGTCGACCAAATTCTTAGCTATTTTGCTAGTAGGCCTTCCATTCTGCCAACTGAGGACAAGAAAATGTCTATTCAACTACCCTATAAAGTGATCAGAATTCAGTAATTTGGCCAATTTCATACAAAATAAAAAAAATACCAATTTAAACAGAGTCCATAATAAACAATGTAGACATTACTGGCACTATAACATTTACTCTGTTCAAAAGTAGACTTACTCTATTACTCTGGTAATATATAACCAGGAAAGATTGTTCATGGTTTACAGCATCCCAATAATTGAATCAGACCCATTAAAAATCCATAGAAAAGACTGGGGGTTGTAGGGAGGGGCCTTACCAATCCTCTGGAATATTAACAAAAGTTGAATATTTCCACTACTTTGAGCTCAATTTCAAGCTACATCCAGTTCTGAAGCCAATCAAAATCATCTCTTTTTAAGCGTGTTTGATAGGAGTGAATGGAGACAAATGGTTTTTAATACTTGACGTGCTGTTGGAGTGTGAGCAAAGTAACATTTATGAAGGGGTTCAGGGAAACCGGCAGGCCGGACTTGAGTCCTGGAGATGGGAAGTACAGTGCCTGCACTCTGAAGGAGGGGTGTTAATGTTGCAGTTTAAAAACTGTAGTATAAAGCACCCTTCTGGCAAGACAGTGATGGAGTGAATGATGGTGAAAGTTTTTCTTTTTCGGGCCACCCTGCCTTGGTGGGAATCAGCCAGTGTGATAATAAAAAATAATGTTTTCCATTCTATCTAATAATACCAAACCATTAAAACCATCCAAGAAAACACCACATAAAGTCGCTATTTTAAACCATACACAGTCACAGTTTTGTTTTTCCCATCATGCACTGAATAGGGGCAGCATTTTTTTATACGGAGAACACTCGCTGCAAAGACCCATTCTCTCATATCTAGGCCAAAACTTACACTCACAGCTTATCCGAGTGAGCTGAGCTCATAATGTAGAACTACACGACGGTAAAAACACTGTTGTCGTTGGGGATAGCCAGGTTAGGTACATGGACAGGGCCTTCTGTTTGAAGTACAGGAGTAGGAGAGAGAGGGTTTGCTTTCCTGGGGCTGGGATGGAGGATATTGTTAGCCGGCTTGACATCATGAGCGGTAATGGGGTCAATCCTATTATCTGCCTCAGTGCTGGAGGCAATGATGTAGGCAAGGGTAGAATTTAGGTAGAAGGTACAGGACAGCAATAGACATAACTAGGAAGAAGGGGGGCACCCTGTTATATGTGGCATTTTGCCAAGAAGGGGTGTTGGAAATGAATGGTAGTCCAGAGCAATTGGCACTAATTGTTGGCTGGACAAACACTGTAAGGATAATGCAGTACCATTCATTGACAACAGGGACCACTTCTATGGCTGGTTCATGCTGATACTGGCTTTGACATGTGCCGGTAGTCTGTTCCATTTCTTTATTGCTGAACAATAAAAGGTGTTTGAAGCCTGGCCACTGACTGAGAACTATAAAGCTGTGTTCTCTCCTCTTTTGAGCAGCTCTGTGATTCTTTGCCTTTGCCAGTAGAAAGTCTCTCTCTCTAGTTTACATCTCTGTTTTCTTAGGGAAATGTGCCTCAAGTGTCACAGAGTTAATTCTTTTTAGGAAAAAGTTTGAAAACGTTCATTTAGAATAAAAGAGAAAAAGGTAGCTTATGAGAGGTTTTTACAAAGCAGAAGTGTTATAAGAAGAGCCGAGTATATGGAGAGTAAAAGAAAGGTAAAGAGAGTGGTGAGAGAGTGCAAAAGGAGAGCAGATGATAGAGTGGGAGAGGCACTGTCAAGAAATTTTAATGAAAATAAGAAAAAATTTTGGAGTGAGTTAAACAAGTTAAGAAAGCCTAGGGAAAGTATGGATTTGTCAGTTAAAAACAGAGTAGGGGAGTTAGTAGATGGGGAGATGGAGGTATTAGGTAGATGGCGAGAATATTTTGAGGAACTTTTAAATGTTAAGGAAGAAACAGAGGCAGTAATTTCATGCACTGGTCAGGGAGGTATACCATCTTTTAGGAGTGAAGAAGAGCAGAATGTAAGTGTGGGGGAGGTACGTGAGGCATTACGTAAAATGAAAGGGGGTAAAGCAGCTGGAACTGATGGGATCATGACAGAAATGTTAAAAGCAGGGGGGATATAGTGTTGGACTGGTTGGTACTTTT